TACCTCCAGCTGGCACTTGCAGCCTCAGATCTTGGCAGGAAATGTCTGCCTATCCAAGAAAGCTGATTGTGAACTTCCAGGAGTTGCCAAATTGGCAGCTGAGGCTCAGCCATGTACAGGAATGAGATTTTGGTGGAGAAACTATGGAAAGAAGTAGTAGACACCTCACACATGAAAAGGGGGGAGTGTCCCAAGGTTAGAAAAGCACTTCCCAGTGTTGAGGCAGCACTTGTGTGGAGCCTTCAGGATTGGGTCAGAGTTGTGATACCCAGGAAGATGCAGAACCTCCCATCCTCCACACATTTCATTGTCATAATTCCTTTCCATCTTGCACATCCACATTTTTTTCCTTGTCAGAGATTACCTTTTTTTTATGGATGAAAAATGAAGCTGAATCCTGCACCCAGATTTAGGACTGGGTAAATCTTTGGATCCCATTGTTGAAACAACCAGATGCTGATGGAGGAGGGATTCTTAAGAGCTGCATCCAGCTCTGGAGTTCCCAGCACAGGAAGGACATGGAGCTGTTGGAGCAAGTCCAGAGGAGGCACCAAGATGATTAAAGGGATGGAGTGACTTTTCTATGAGGAAAAGCTGGGAGAATTGGGATTGTTCAGCCTGGAGAATGGAAGACTCTGGGGTGACCTAATTGTGGCCTTCCAGTTGACAAGAAAGTTGGAGAAGGACTATTGACAAGAGCCTGGAGTGACAGGACAAGGGGCAATGGCTTCAAACTCACAGAGAGCAGGGTTAGGTTGGATATTGGGAAGAAATTGTTCCCTAGGAGGATTGGGAGGCCCTGGCACAGGTTGCCCAGAGAAGCTGTGGCTGCCCCATCCCTGGAAGTGTCCAAGGCCAGGTTGGATGGAGTTTGGAGCAACCTGGGCTAGTGGAAGGTGTCCCCATGGCAGGGGGTTGGAAGAAGGTGATCTCCAAGGTCGATTCCAACCCAACCCATTCTGTGATTCCTGAGCAGGAAAGAAGCAGCTGAGGGAACTGATGGCCTCCAACTGCAGAAGGTTGCTTTGGAGGGAACTCAAGATGCTCCAGCCCTTTTCCCCATCTTAGTGTTTCCTCTGGAGCTTTGCAGGACCCTGGAATAAACTTAGGGAAACCTTGTGGTGGCTCTGGTTTCCTTCTGAGCTGAGGGAAGCCAACTACAGCCACAGGGTGTCACACCTTGGTGATGCCCATTGCCTACATCCCCAGATCCCTCCTCACTCTGCATCCAGCATGGAATTTTAGAGTGCTTGGATGAGGAATCTTTTCCATGTGCCCTCTGAAATTCCCTGCACAGGGGCTGTTCATGAACCAAACAACACACATCTTGTTCTTTCCAGTTAGGGGGATTGGGATTAAAAGTCAAGTTGTTAAACAACAACATTTAGATTTGGGAATTGTTCCTTTTTTATTTTTTGTGTTTCCAAACCCTTTACATTTAAAAACAGATTCACCCTCCAAGCATTCTCAGTTGCCTTTCTTTTTAAAACACTGGAAGACAGCAAAAATTATGTGTGACTGGGTGAATACTGGGGAACATAACTCTTATTTATTTAAGAGGTGGAGATGAATTCCATGTACAATTATGTGGAAGATGGCAAGATTGCTGTGTTCTGGGACAACAAAGTGCCAGCATTTGGAAAGAAGATGGATTATTAGAGGTAATTTATGTAGTTTAGAGTGATTTAAGTGCAGTTAAACTATTGCACATCATGGTACAATATATGACATAATAGACCAAGAGAACTGAGAAGTTTTCCAGTCTGTTTTCCATTCCAGCTTCCCAGCTGATGCTCCACCAGAGAAGCCCGTGGAGATCTGTTATTTCTGGGGAGAGGTTGTTCCTGGAACAGTTTGGCCAGAGAAGTTGTGGATTCCCCATCCCTGGAAGTGTCCAAGGCTGGGTCAAACAGGGCATGGAGCAACCTGGGATAGTTCCAGCCCATGGGCTGGAAAGAGATGATCTGAAGATCCCTTCCAACTCAAACTTTTCAATGATTCCATGATATGGTCTCTTTTATCTGCAATAAAATTTGGCTATTTAACCCTGTTTTTCCAAAAAATCCCACTCTGCTTTTCCTTAGCTGGGTCTTCATGTGGAGAAGGGGCTGTTTCAAAGGGAAAGGTTTGGTGTGACAGCTTGTTTGGAAGGGGATCTCCTGCCTTTAAAACAGAAATCTGTCATGTTCTAAATGGTAAAATTAAACAAATATGTTTTCACAAACCAGTTTGGTATTTGCTGCATTTTTCCCACAAGAGCTGAGCAGAACTCAGCAAAATTAGTAAAAAAGCCCCAAAAATCCACTGGTTCCCCTGTGTCTCAGTTCCCTCATCAATAAAAGGACTCTGTTGTAGCAGGTAAGAGATCTCAAGGATTTGAGGCTGGAATGTGCTCAGATCTGAGAAACACTGTCAGCCTTCAGGCTGAGTCCTACAGATGAACTTTCTTGGTTGCTGGAACTCTTGGGATGAGGGATATGAAAAGAAAAGTCACTTTGAGCAACCTGGTCTAGTGGACGGTGTCCCTGCCCATGGAACAAGATGATCTTTCAAGTCCTTTCCAACTCAAACCATTCTGTGATTCTATGAAGATCTGCCTGGAGGGGAAGCCAGTTGGAACAGCAAAAGTCTGAAAGGTTTTGTGCAAAGTTCAGCCCCAGCAGGGATGAAGTAGCTCAGCCAGGAGAGCGTTAGATTGAAGATCTAAAGGTCTGGTGGAAGGTGTCTCTGCCCGTGGTAGGGGGTTGGAAAGAGATGATCCTTAAGATCCCTTCCAACCCAAACCATTCCGTGGTTTAAGCATCCAGACACAGATGTGAACAGACAGAACAGGACATGACCCTTCCAACTCCTTGAATACGGCACAAAGGGGATGAACTTCAGCCACACTCCCGTGATCTCCTGTGGAACATCTCCCTGGGCCTTTTCCACAGGCAGGGAACTGCACTAGAAGGACCATCAGCCTGATCTAAATGGACACATTTGATTTCCCTGAGTGCCTGGTGCTGTTTGAGAAGGTGGTCCCCAGGTACCCCTCAGTCGTCCCCAGGGACAGAACAAGAGCCAAGTGTCCCCTGAGCCAGTTGGAGCCACAAAAAGTTGAAAGCTCTTCCCATTCCAAGGGGGTTTGTGCCAATGGCAGCCCCAGCAGGGCTGAAGTAGCTCAGCTGGGAGAGTGTTAGACTGAAGATCTAAAGGTCCCTGGTTCAATCCCGGGCTTCAGCAGGGTTTTCCTGCCCTTTTGGGTGCCCAGGGCTGGGATTCCAGTACAACAGAGACATGGACAGACAGGAGAGAGGCCAGCAAAGGGCCAGGAGAAGGATGAAGGGGCTGAAGCATCTCTCCTGTGAGGAGGGGATGAGAAAGCTGGGACTGGTTGCCCTGAGAGGTGGAGTTCCCATTCTTTGCCATATTTCAAAGCCACCTGGATGTGATCCTGGACAGCTGGCTGGAGGTGTTCCTGCCTGAGCAGGGGTTTGATCTCCATGAGATCCCTTCTGACCTCAACCAGTCTGAGTCTGTGAAACAGGGACATGGTTTTTAATTCAAAGGCACCAGCAAAAATAGTGATAGAAAGGGATTTTTTCTTTAGTTCCTTCAACTGTTTTTTCCCAGTCCTGCGTCCTGGACTGCCCTCTAAAGTGGTGGTGATGTTGAGTCACTGATGTGGGGGATTGTCTACTCTGTAGCAAGTCCAGGGGAGGCCACAAAGGTTAGTAGAGATGGAACTCCTCACCTATGAGGAAAGGCTGAGAGAGGGATTTGTTCAGCCCAGAAAAAAAAAAAGCTGCAAGGAGACCGTAGAGCCCCTTCCAGTTCCTGAAGGGGCTCCAGGAGAGCTGGAGAGGGACTTTGGACAAGGACATGGAGTGACAGGATGAAGAAGAATGGTTTTAAATGGAGAGAGGGATGTTAGATGGGATATTGGGAAGGAATTCTTCCCTGTGAGGGTGATGAGGCCCTGGCACAGGTTGCCCAGAGAAGCTGTGGCTGCCCCATCCGTGGAAGTGTCCAGGGCCAGGTTGGACTGGGTTTGGAGCAACCTGGGACAGTGGAAGGTGTCCCTGCCCATGGCAGGGAGTTGGAATGAGATGATGTTTAATGTCCCTCCCAGTCCAAACCATTCCACAGTTTATGACCCTCTGAGCTCTGAGGACAACCACTGGTGCCCCTCCCATTCCTGCCAGGCAATGCTGGGGGCTTGAAGCAGCACCAGCTACAGCTGCAGAGTCCTCAGCAGCAGCAGAGCTCGGCTCCTTGCTGGAATTAATGATTCCATCCTGCTTAATTGAAGGTTTCTCCCCTTTGCCGTAAATGTTGATCCCTTCTTCAACCCACAGGAGTTTTGTGAGGTTCCTTCTTGCCTCTAATGGTGGTGTTTTGACTCAGTGAGGGAATAAATCCTCCCCTACCTTCACTTGTGCCTTGTCCCCAAGAACAGCAGAAACAAAACTTTGACACCATATTACATAATTTTCTTCTTGCGAGCCCTTACAAACACCTTCATCCCAGGAAAAATTGACAGAATCTTGGAAATACCTCTTCAAAGAAATGGAAATACAGAAAATCTGACTAAGACAGCTTAAAATTTTGGATTTATTGATGGTAGAGGTGAGATGAGACCTGAGAATGATCCAGACCCTGCTCTAACCCCTGTAACACACTCTTGAAAAATAAAGGGAACAGGGATATGATGGTGAGTGACTGTCAGGGAAAAACAGGTGTAGGTGTTGGGAAGACAACACAGTCAGGGAACATATTAATCCCTTGAGACCAGGACAGGCTTCCCACTTCATTTCTGCCCACTCTCATGATTATTTATGATTTGGAGGGGCTGCAGGGAGTTACCATTTGGGAACTTTTGAGATATTATCCCTTTTTTTTGCAGAGCCACAGTGTGATTCCAGAGGGATCTGAGCTGCAGCAGCGTGAGGAGGTTGCAATGCAGAGCCCGTATCACCCCTCATTTCCAAAACCTGTAACTAAGGATAAAACCCACAGATTCCTGGTCTCTCCCATGGCACTCCTTCATTCCCTGTTGTTTTCTGCCTGGCTCTTCATAATCCAAAAATCTGGGATAATTTCCTCTCCACACTGAGCGTCAAGAAGGACAAAATCCCTTTGGCAGCTTCAGGGCATTGCTGAGAATGGATTTAAAAGCAGGAAATAGCGCGAAATTCCCAGGGCGATCCCGTGCGCGTGGCTCGGATGCTGGGGAAAAAGGGACTGGATTGACGGAGGAATGGTCGTAAAGCAGCAGAAAAGAGGGACTTACGTCAGAGATCCTGATTTCCATCTCGACGTCACCTAGCAACACTCCAGATAAGGGCTTTCACTTCCGAGGAACTCGTTCCCTGGGAATTTTCCCATTAGGTGGCACCACTGGCCTTGAGAAGCCTTTGACGTGCTTTGTCTCCTTCGAGCCACGTTGACCTTAATTCCAGTTCGGAGACCCCCGTCCCCAAAAAGCTCAGGAAGAGTTGGATGAGATTCGTGCAAACCTCAAAGTGACCTGGGCTGTTGGTTATGATTTGATTTGGAGAAGAATTTTTGATAGGACCCAGCCCATCTTTGCACTGGATTCTGGAAAATCCCATGGGAACACAGAACCTGGCTCCTCTGGGCATGAACTTCAGCAGAGTTTCAGCTGAACTCAGAAGTGGAAATAACTTTTCTTGTTGGTACTGATTGGGTAATTTAATTCCTGGCTGCAAGGAGGGAGCTGTAACTCCCAACAAAGCTGATCTTGATGCATTTATGGTTTGCTGCTGGAAAGGGGATGCCCAGGTTGCCAGGAGAACATGCTGACAGCACCCCAAGTGTCACACAGAGACCTTCAGAGTCAACTTCTGAAGTTTTTGGTTCGGATTTTGAAGGCAGATTCAATTTTGGAACTCAGCATCTGATTTCTGTGGGCTCTGTCTGGTGACTGAGCAACCTGGACTAGTGGAAGGTGCCCCTGTCCACGGCAGAGGGTTGGAATTAAATAATCCTGAAGGTCCCTACCGGCCCAAACCATTCTGTGTTTAGGTCAGGTTTAGAGATTTGCTTTTTTACCTTCCGAGAAATCAAGTGAGATGAATCCTACCCCAGGAACCTATTCCAAACTCCTGGGTTTGCTGTAAAAAATGTTCTACTGGGTCTTCTCCTGTGTTCTTTGCTACCTGTCACGCTGCTGTCCCCATCTGGCCTTCCAGGAATTTGTTGATCGCCGGTGCTGCTGAACTAAATAGCTCCCAGCTCTTAAGAGAAGAACAGAACAACACCATTTCACAGAATCAGAGGCACTGATGTTTCAAAATAGACACTGGATTATTTTGATTTGCCTTCAAAGACAAGAGTTTTTGAAGAAAAGCTAAGCCTGGAGCAAAGCTGCACTCCAGGCTTTAATAACCCTTCAAAGCAGAGCTTTACGTACAAGGGAACACTTGTGATGGGCCACACAATAATCATCAGCTGATAAATCATCTGGCTCTACAACCCTTTCTCTCACTTCCTTCAGCATCCGAATGTGGGAAAATAGACCAGGAAGAGTTTTCAGACCCTGCAGGCTGAGCCAAGCTGGACTTGTAGGATCTGTAGTCACTGAATTGCTCCTTCTGTAAATAAATATAACCAGAGCTGCTCTGAACAACCAGCCTCATTTTGGGAATGATTTTGCAGGGGGCAGATTGCAGGATTTCTTGAAAATATTTACTAGGGTCAATTCCTAACTACCTTCTCTTTATGGATCTTGAGATCCAGGTGGAGATGAGAGAGACATTTAATAGGATAGAGAACAAGGATTGCTCATTCCCACTTCAGAGCTGAGACCCAGTCAGCCTTCAGGCTTCAACCCTGTCAGCAATATTGGAGATTCCTCTCATTTCAGCATCTCCACCAGACTCAAAATAGAGGAATCTGGATTTGGGTTGTGTTGTCTCTTGGCCAAGGTCTTTAGTGACACCCTGGACATTAAAGATCATCTCTTTCTAACCCCTCTGCCATGGGCAGGGACACCTTCCACTAGCCCAGGTTGCTCCAAGCCCCGTCCAACCTGGCCTTGGACACTTCCAGGGATGGGGCAGCCACAGCTTCTCAACATCTTGAGTCACTGGTGGGGGGGGGTGTCTACTCTGGAGCAAGTCCAGGGGAGGCCACAAAGATTATTAGAGAGGTGGAATTGCTCTCCTGTGAGGAAAGGCTGAGAGAGTTGGATTTGTTCAGCCCAGAGAAGAGAAGGCTCCAAGGAGACCTTGGAGCATCTTTCTCTTGGCACCACTGAGTTTTCAGGAGCTGGATCTCTCATATGTAGGAGATAATTTATAAGCTTAAATGGGAGAGTATCATTGCTCAGCTGGCCAAAAATGTCCCCATCTGAGAAGCACAAAGATGCTGTGACCCTCAGCCATACGTGTGACCAGTTCCTCAGTGACCAGGAGTGGGATCCCCACTGGGATCCAGGCATGGAAGTGTTTTTGCAGGAAGAAAACCTACTTAGGGTATGATTCTGTTGTCTGGATATTCCATAGCCTAGTTTGGGAGCCCTAAATATCAAGGAACTGTTATCTAATAAATCCCTGGGAGGAAATATCTGCTGCTGTCGAGCTGAACATTCAAGCCCAGATTAAATATATTTTTGACACCTTTCTCTACCAGATTTTTTGACAGACATGGAAAACTCACCGTGCATTTCACAGAAGTATTTTGGGAAGATGTGAATTTGGAGCTGGGGAAAGATGGGAGATCGCCCTGGGAGCGAATTATTTGCGGGATAAGTTGGTGGGTTGGGCAAACCTGTCCCATCTCGCTGCATGAATCTGCTTGGCTCCCATTCCCTGGGTGGAGAGAGACAGATTGGTGTGCAGAGATTAGCCAGGCTCCATGGATAACTCCAGATCCTTCCGTGGGCTCTGTGAAAAGATGTTAGGAAAGTCTGTTCAGTGCTAATGCTCATGATGGCTCTCAGTTCAAGGCTGCTGTTTAAATCGAGATTTTAGCTGTGTTTTCTCATAAAAGCCCAGAATGATTTGAGCTAGAAAGGACTTTAAAGATCATCTCATCCCACTCACCTGCCACTGGACCAGGTTGCTCCAAGCCCTGTCCAACCTGACCTTGAACACTTCCAGGGATGGGGAAGCCACAGATTCTCTGGAAAGCCTGTTCCTGTTCTCTGAGTAAAGAATTTCTTCCCAATGTTATGGACCTTGGCCTTCAGGAACAGCAGTGAGACCCAATTTATTATTTCTTATATTTATTATTTCTTATCAGGACATGCTACAGCTAAATGGTTTGGGTATTTTAGACCTGTCCAATGTGTATTTTTGGATATGTCAGACCAACCTGAAACCCTGAACAGCACAAAAAAGAGAGATGGTCTGAGGGATGAGACAAGACAATGTCCTCAGCACCAGCCCAGAGAGAGGAGTCTGTGTTTGATTGTCCCTTTTACTCTCTTTCCAGTTATCTCTTGAGCCTTCCCTACAGTGAATTTGTCTTTCACTTCATCCTAGACCACCTTTGTCACTTCACATTCAGCTTCCCTTTCTGTAGCTTTGTAGCTGCAGAGACTTAACTCCATCTCCTTGTTTTCCTTGCAATGATTTGTGAGTTTCTCTAATATCAAAGTGTTTCCTGGCTCCATCCTCCAGATTCACATTATTAAAATCATGCATGGAGGTCACAGACTCCTACAGGGAGTCTGGGCTGGCACCTTGGCCCAGTGCTTTTGATCCCACTCTGCCTGTATCTTATTCCCTGAAACAACTTCTTTGTCTCCCAAGCTAAAGTCAACTAAAGGCTGCCTGAAAAGGCTGAAAGATCATCATATTTCAACGGGGTTTGTGCCAATGGCTGCCCCCGCAGGGCTGAAGTAGCTCAGCTGGGAGAGCGTTAGACTGAAGATCTAAAGGTCCCTGGTTCAATCCCGGGCTTCAGCAGGGTTTTCCTGCCCTTTTGGGTGCCCAGGGATGGGATTCCAGTACAACAGAGAAATGGACAGCCAGGAGAGAGTCCAGTAAAGGGCCAGGAAGGTGATCACAGAATGGGAAAAGTTGGAAGGGACCACAGTTTGGACCAGGGTCATCCCAGAGCACAGGGCACAGAATGGTATCCAGATGGGTCTGGAATATCCTCAGTGAGGGAGACTCCACACCCTCTCTGGGAAACCTATTCCAATGCTCAGTCACTGCCCAGCAAAGAAGTTCTTCCTCATGTCCAGGTGGAACTTCCTGGGCATCAGTTCCTGCCCATTCCTCTTGTGCCATTGCTGGGCTCCCCCCAAGCAGAGCCTGGTCCATCCTCTGCCCCCTCCCTGCAGATAGACATAGATAAGGCCCCCTCTCAGTGTCTCTTCTCAAAGCTGAACTGGCCCAGCTCAAGGGGATGAAGGGACAGGAGCATCTCTTTTATGAGGAGAGGACGAGAGACCTGGGGCTGGCACTCCTGAGAGGTTGTGGAATCTCCATTCTGAGAAATTTTAAGAAGCCACCTGGATATATCCTGGGCAATTGGCCCTCAGTGGTCCTGCTAGAGCAGGGGGTTGCACTAGAAAATGTCCAGAAATCCCTTCCAACTATTCTGTGTGGAGAGGACAAGGACAAAAGTTTACATCTAGAGAAGGGAAAAGCCAAGCTAATGAAATCATCATATTTTCCCATCAGCAGTGTCCACCTGGTCAACCAGCCCAACCACCCTGGCTGAGCAACCAGCCAACAAAGAGCTGTGATAAAGATCGGGGTGTGGGAAAAACCAGACCCATGCATAAATAAATAAAAGGAAGTTTAAACACTCCTATCCTTGAAACATTTATCAAGGTGAAGTTTTTCCTCTTTTTCCCTGATTTTTTTTTTCTTATTATTTTTAGTCAAACTAAGAGCCCCAAAATTAACTCTTCACCCTCTCTGAGATGCTGGTGTCTGTCATCTGCTGCGGGATCTGCAGCTCGACGTCACGAGCAGGGCCCCCAAATAAACTTCCGCTCTCATTTAAGGCACCATCTGTGTCCCATTTCTGCAGAGATCTGTTCCCTTCTATGGAATGTTCCTTCCCCTCGCTGAGCTCCAGACTCCTTCGGAGGTGGGGAAGGCGGTGGGTGGGAGCGGTGCCAGCTCGGTGCCAACGGAGCTCGCTGTGACAGAGCCCTCGGGTTATCAGGAGGCTTTTGGTGCTCAGCCGCGGTCAGGAGGCCCTGGAACAGGCTCGAGGGTGATGCCTTCAACTCTGTGTCACATCCAATTTTAGTTTAGCTCTTTCAGTGTGGCACTTTTAGCACCTCTGTACGAGATTTCCAAAAATGTTTAACGTTCCTTGCCGAGAACTCCAACGGACCGAGATTTGAGCAAGGTGAAAAACAGCTTATCTGGAGAAAATGTACTCAGAATAAGACATAACAGGATCACACCATTTGATATAACCAAGTCAAAACTGCTCAGGAGCCTTGAGGCTGTTGCAAGCAGGACAGAGAGGATGATGATGAGGAGGATAGGGATAAAGGGGTGGTTGTTTTGCCACCACTGACTCAAATTTGGGAGGTGTGTCTGAGGGTGGGACAATGAGACAGACAATTTTGGGGCTGGGTGTAACCAATGAGGTAATGCCTAGATATTGTAATTAGATGGTATTATAAAAATTGTAAAGGCCTGTACTGTGGGCATGTGCAATACAGTTTGTGCACCAAAGGCACCACAGGTAGAAGTGCTGCTTTCTACCTTTCTGTACTCAAAACTGTCCAGAGAATTATTTCTCTGATTTTAGGCAACAAGGGGCAACCCACAGATGAGGCAGAGCCAACACCGGACCATGTCTGGCTGTGAGAAAGAGAAGCTTCACTGCGGTTTGTTAATTAGGACAAGAGTAATGAGGGGAGGAAGAGCCAAGCTCAGGATGTCATGGAGAGAAAGGTCCAAGTCACTGGGACACACCATTGTTTGGGGCACAGAATCACAATCAATTAGGTTGGAAAAGACCCCTGAGATCATTGAGTCCAACCCGTGCCCCAACCCCACCTTGGCACCCTGCCCATGACACCAAGTGCCATGTCCAGGCTCTGCTTCAACATCTCCAAGGATGATGACTCCACCACCTCCCTGAGCAGCCCATTCTAATGTCTAATCCCCCTTTCCGTGAAGAAATTCCTCCTAATGTCCAATCTAAACCTCCTCTGGTGCAGCTTGAGGCTGTGTCCTCTTATCCTGTTACTTGTTGAACCCCTTTTGGCTCCCCCCTCCTGTCAGAAAGTGAGGAAAGTGAGAAGGTCCCCCCTGAGCCTCCTCTTCTCCCGACTGAGCCCCCCCAGTTCCCTCAGCCTCTCCTCATAGGATTTGTTCTTCCAACCCTTCTCCCGCTCCGTTGCCTTTCCCTGGTCCTTTTACCAGGATGACGTTCACAGCCTTATCTTCCTATTATGCAAATAAATTCAGCTTTATTGCCTAATTCAGACAGTGAAACCCACAACAAATCAGGAAGAGCCTTAGTTTAGGCTCTGCACCAAACCAGCTGAATGAGCTGTGCAAACTGTAACCCTGGGCCTCAGTTTCCCTTTGATGTAGCAATTCCCTTTCCCTTCCCTTCCCTTCCCTTCCCTTCCCTTCCCTTCCCTTCCCTTTCCACGCAAGCACTCGATGTTCTCTGTGTTCTCAGCTTGTTTGTGTGTGTTCCCCCAGCACGTGTCCCCAGGGATGGCGCTGCATTACTCACACACCTCTCGAATCCTCTGTTTCTCTAATTCCTTTTATTTGCAGGAGTTGGGAACAGTCATGCTCTCCAGGAAAACACAGCCCTCACAAAGCTGGAATCAGCGTCACTCAGCTGTTCCTAAGAAACTCCTGTGACTTGCAGGTGAATTCACCACAGATCGGAAATGGGAGGTGGGAGTGGTAAGAAAGAAGGGGACAGATCATCCCAGAACACCAGGAGATGAGGTAAATAATTAGGAAACAGTGTAGGAAAGAGGATGATGGACTGGAGATGAGGTAAGAGACCCAAAATCTGGGTCACCGTTGGTACAGAACATTTTAAATGACCAAGGAAGACTTTGGGATTCAGGGGATCTGTTTCTGGTTGTGGAAACTTGCTCATTTTGGCAAGAGCAGTGGCCACCACATCAAAGCAGGGACAAGACAGAGGTGCCTCCAAATCCACTTCCCACAAGTTGAATTGATTTAAGGTCCTCTTTGCTCTTTTCCTGTATCCACACAGAGACCCACATTCCCTCAAATCTCAGTTATTTGGGTGCTCCAGGAGACTCTGTGTGTGCTTGTGGAAAGTTTCATTATCAGGAACTTTAAACCACTATTACATCATTATATCTTAGATCAGGAATGGTGTGGCCAGCAGGACCAGGGCTGTGATCAGCAACTGAAATCCAACTGAAATCCAGCTGAAATCCAACTCAAATGCAAATTCTGGGGGCTGTTTTAGGCCTTTCACGACAAGAAAGACATTGAAGGGCTTGAGGGTGTCCAGGGAAGGGAACGGAGCTGGGAAGGGTCTGGAGCACCAGGAGCAGCTGAGGGAGCTGGGGGGGCTCAGCCTGGAGAAAAGGAGGCTCAGGGGGGACCTTACTCTCTGCAACTCCCTGACAGGAGAGTGGAACTGGGCTCTGATCCCAAGTACCAAGGAATAGGATGAAAGGAAATGGCCTCAAATCACACCAGGGGAGGCTCAGGTTGGATATTAAGAAAAATTTCTTTGCTGAAAGGGTTTCTCAGCCCTGGCCCAGCTGCCCAGGGCAGTGGGGGAGTCCCCATCCCTGGAGGGATTTAAAAGCCGTGTGGATGTGGCACCTGGGGACATGGTTAAGTGGTGGACTGGGGTATTTTTACATTAGTGGTTGTATTTGCTGATCTTAAATGTCTTCTCCAACCCAAACAACTCTATGATTTAAACTATAAACTTCCATGAAAAGCTGCGGCAGAGAGGGGAAAACCTAACTAATTGAATTTTCCAGCCCTTCCCTGTTGTTTTCCTGTCCCCCTCAACAATAAAATCAGCTGGCAAGGGTGGCTGGACACACAGAGGGATGTTTTGTCTCCTGGGAGTGCCAACAGAACCCTCTAGCAGGGAATAGGGATAACTGGTAACACATTCCCAGAGCCCTGCCTTGCTCCTTGTCTGTACTTCCCACCCCCTCAGCCCGGCAGAGCACTCCCACCTTCCAGAGGGAGCCAGCCAGGAACGGCAGGGAGGGAAAAGTTCACCTGGAAGGGAAGGAAAGCTGTTCCGGAGGAGGTGAGAGCAGAACTGGGAATCCTGTGACGTTCAGCTGTGTTTTGAGAGCAACTTTCTTGTCTGACCCTGACCTGGGAGCTCGCTGAGGGGACAAGAAGGGCTCAAGGAGGTGTGTTTGCATCCTCACCAACGTTATCCAGCGGGGAACAGATCACCCAGAAAGTTTAGCTCCTTTGGATTAATGAATCCATTGCATATTCCTCGGGAAATCTCTCTCTCACCTTTCCAAATGCTGCTGGAATTTGCCGGTGTGTGAGACCAAATTTTAACTGTTTCTCTTGGCAGCTGCCAGCCCTGGAATGGGATAAATTCCTTGGCTCTGCTGGAAGATTGATGGAGAGGGATTTATGTTGCTGATGGTTACAGGCACCTTTGCAAGTGTTGAGGTGTTTGGGGGGGGGGGGGGTTGCCTCTTCTCCTCACATCTTCCATCTTATTTGAATTTTCTTTAAATCTTGTTTATGTGTTATCTCCTCCAAAATGACACTTGGGGAGGTCACATCTCCCTTCCCACACCACCACTCACAGCTGAGGCTCTCACGGGTCACGCTGACACCTGATTCCTGGAATCATGGAATCAGAGTTTGGGTTGGAAGGGATCCCTGTGCGACGGGCAGGGACACCTCCCACTAGAGCAGGTTACTCAGACACCAATCCAGCCATCAGCAACTGGAAAATCACATTTCTAGGCACATATTTTTCCTTGCTGTCAGGTCCTGCTCCTCTGGAATGACATCTTTGGGAAGGTCCTGGTGTGCAGCTCCAGGCTCCAGAATCTTGTGTCACTGTGTTTCCCATCACCCATCAACACAGGAACCTTTACAGGGCTGGCAGGAATAACATTTCTAATATTTTTATATTATATTTCACAATTATATTATATATTTATATTTTTATTGTTATATTTTTAATAATTTTAGTTTTCTACATCTTCTATATTTCTAAATATTTCTAAATTTAGTTTTCTATATTTCTATAGTTTTCTATATTTCTATATTAGTCTTCTATATTTTTATATTTTCTACATTTCTATATTTCTATTTTATTGTTGTACTGTTAGTATATTTTATTGTTATGTTTTATATAATATATTTTATTGTTACATTATACTTATTTTTTTTATATCAGCTCCAAACCCTGAGCTAACAGGTCTTACCCCAGGGAAGCACTACAACTGCACAGGAGCTGAGTTTTAGCTCTCCTGACTATACTGAGAGTCTGGGAAAAAAAACAACCACCAGACCAACCAACCAACCAAAAAAAACCCAATCAAACAAAACAAAACAAACAAAAAAACCCAAAAACAAAACCAAAAAAAAACCACAAGAAAAACAGCTCTTAACTTAAAACCTTCAGCTAAATATTTAAAACTCCAGGTGATGATCTGAGACCTCGAAGCCTAAAAATCCTTGGGCTGAAAAAAAAAACACCTCCTCAGTGATTTTAAAAGTGTTCTAGTCCTGACTTTTTTTTAATTTATTTTAATTATTGGCTCAAGGACTGGGGAGATTTCATGGCAAGGGAAAATCTGAACTCAACTTTTGCAAAGTTTCAGTTGCAAAAGCAGCTTCCCTGGAGCACGGGGACACCCAGAATGTGTTTGGCCACCCATGAGGATCCTGAATGGGGTGACACTAAAACGGGCAGGCGATTGCTCGATTGCTCCCGGTGCAGGGAAGGAAAAGGTGCCGCCGTTTGAAATGCTAATTTTATGGGGTTTAAAAGCCCATTTCGCTTCTCTTCTTCCTCCTCCTCCTCCTCCATCTCCTTCGCTCTCGCTGCTCCTCCGGCGGAGGTGCCAAAACCTCCTCCGTCA